CCAGGGTCTCACCACCCTCATGGGGAAGAACTTCTTCCTAACGTCCAGTCTGAACCGACCCATCTGTAGCTTCAATCCATTCCCTCTAGTCCTGTCACTGCCCAACATCCTAACAAGCTCCTCCCCAGCTTTCTTGTAGCCCCCTTGAGATACTGGAAGGGCACAATAAGGTCTCCTCGGAGCCTTCTCTTCTCCATACTGAAGAGCCCCAACTCTCTCAGTCTGTCTGCGCAGGAGAGGTGCTCCAGCCCTCTAAGCATCCTCGTGGCTCTTCTCTGGGTGCTTTCTAGCATGTCCAGATCTTTATTGTGCTGTGGGCTCCAGAACTGGACACAGGACTCCAGGTGAGATCTCATGAGAGTGGAGTAGAGGGCAAGAATCACCTCCCACAACCTGCTGGCCACACATAGTAAGTCGAGGGAGGTGATTCTCACCTTATAGTAGAAGAGAGCAACACAACTCTCAGGCAACTTCTCTCTAAGTATGGGCAGCTTCCGCCAGCAAGCACTGTGCAGGAGAATATGAAACCCAGTCTGGAGTATGGGCTGTGAGTTTATAGTTTAGACAGCTCTACTGAACGGAGTCCTGCTGTCAGTGCCAGCACGCCCTGTACGCGCTCTCTAACCGTAGGTGTCAAAACACACCATGGCACAGGCGAACGCCCACTGCCCTGGGTCGTGGGGTGCCTTGTGGCGCAAAACAGGGTCTTCATCTCCAGCCACGAGAAGCCTGAGGCCAAGCACTTCACTGCTTTTCCGCTGGCTGCATCCCAAGCAGGGTTGCTGATGTGGTCCGTGAGAACCAAAAAGGTAAAGAAACAGCTGTCAAACACACAAACCTGAAAATCCACCCTGAGATCTATGAGAATCAGGCCGCTGGCTACACCGAGGACAGCAGCAGGATCAAGTCATGGCGCAGAATCACAATTGACTAGTTACATGGTTTTGTCCCCTTCTTTTTCCTGAGTACATCCCACTATATGTGAATATAACTTCATTAGAGAAGAAAACACAGCAGAGCAACCCCAAAATCATCCTCTCTGGCTTTAGAGCCTCAAAGTCATCTTTTCGACCATAATAACACTAGCTATTTACATCCTTGTCAAAGACATGTGACATCTGCATGGGAGAAAACAAGCCGGCTAAGAGTCTATTTCTGGCAAAAATATTGCAAGGAAATTAGATTAACCTGGGTGGAATTCTATCTGGGAATCTGGAGTCTGTCATGGTGATTAAGTCATCATTTCTGTCAGATTACTCTAATCGGCTGTCAAATACGATTCCACAACCCCATCTGTAACTTGGCATCCTCGTTATTCAGTCGATGTTACCTTCTGTATACAAAACAAACACCAAACAAGGAGGTGTGTGCAGTCTAGCATTTAGCAGAGTCATTAGCTGTGATTACTATTGTGTGCTTGCACACTGTGCACGGCGATCAGCTTACGGCTTGTTGTATTTAGTCAGAGGAATCAGGTGTAATCTTAAACCCATCATGCTCAGGGTGAATGGGAAGAACTGTCTCCAGGCATGGCCAA